AAATCATTTCATAGTCCCACTCTCACTGGAAAAAAATTTGCTAAATGTGCATGGAGAGGTTTTTCTAACTGCTACGACAATGGGTACTGATGCATGATTTCGTTTTAACTTTGGTCTTTAATTATCCTTTTATTCAATCGAGTTCTCGTTTCCCATATTTGTGTTTTCTGTATATTTTGATTGTTTTAATTGAGGTAGGCAATAGGTTTACCTAACCAGAGGCATCCAAGGTTGTGACATCACTCCATTCGTAATTCCGTTCCAGACTGGAGCGTGAACTGATGAATCGCGATAGAATTCTCTGTTCCTACTGATTGCCATTTTGTGTGTTTACGTTGAGATGGTGCGTTTGTCCACACATACGTATACACACACGTGCGGACACGACTTTCAATAAATCAGAGGTCCAAATTTTCGGTCGAGCTCTGCTCTCTCGTCCCCCGCAGCGGCTAATTGAATGGATATGAAATGAGGCCATCGCCTGACCCTTTTGCCTCCCATTTCAAATGAGTTCCTTTCTCAGAACAAAGCTAGACAGCTAGCTGACTACTCACGGGGCGGAAAGGAGTGAGAATGGGCAGGTGAAGGAAAATTCTTTTTCGTTGCATTAATGCTTTCTCCCGCTTTCCTCAAGGCAAGCGAAAGAGGAGGAGTGCATCTTCTTTCTACTCGTGTGCGTGCTTGTTCTCTTATCAACCTTCGAAATTAGGACCGGTTGTCTCCTGAAAATGAGCTGTACCGAATGTGAGATGTACGAAACATACTTCTACCCAATAGACCCCGATGACTGGACGCGCTTGTGTGTATTGGGTCTGGTGTAATTTGTCTGTTTATGCGCCCTGCGCATGTGCCTTGTTTGTATGTGGTCCGTGTGTTTACGTTAGTTTTTGTGATATGCGCTGGTCACAACCCGCTCCTCTCCCTCGATTAACCCTATGCCAAGGTTTGCGGTCAGCTACCCATGTGTGTTTATTTGGTTCGCTACAGTGAAAGCAGGTTTGAGAGAGTGTTATGGTTAAAATGAATGTCCTCTGACATCTGTAGATGACACTCCACATCATCGTTCATAAGCCTGTCTGATGATGTTACCATTTCAAATATGCTTGTCTTTCTAAATCATATTGGGAAAAAGTAGCTAAAATGGGTCAAGATAATACCTCGTATTGTTAAAATTCTATTGGGTACTGTTGTGTTTTTCACATAAATAGGTTTATGTTTGATTATTTATTATCATTGAATCGTGCTTTTGTTTAACAATTCATCCTCCGTTTCATGCCAATGAGAATTTCTTAAGTCCCCGATAATTTTGATGGTATGTCATGAAAACCTAATGGGTAGTTTGTTTTTATCAATCTGTTTGAGAATGGAACCCTGACGTAGCTTATTTGTGTGCAGGTTGTGTGCAACAACGAAATTAATTAGTCTTCCGACTAGTGTACCTTTTGTAGTCCATTAAAGCTATTTTCCTTCAAGCTGGGCTGGTGCTCTAGCTGCCTAATTTTTTGTAGGTGGCGGAGTACATTCCCGCTTTCATTCTGCACTACCAACGGGAGGACGGCGGCCCGTGGTACGAGCATACCACTCACGATTCCGAGAGGGTAAGGCTCTAACCTTACTTCACCCTCCTATTGATCGCCTCTTCGCGCTCCCCTTCTCCCTCTTCCATTAATTCGCGCTTTGCGTGTGTGTTTGGTTGTTCACACGTGCTCATTCGGTATTGCGCTGAGGAGAGTTTGTATTATGGGCGCCCAAGTCAAATGGAAGCCATCGTTGCGGCAACGCACGCAGTAGTAGGTGGCATGTGTGTTATTTTACTTGCAGTCGGCCCAAATTCGTCAATCAGGAGGACAGGCAACAGTGGTAGCATGTATGCAGCTTATTGCTGGGGAAAGCTTTTGTGAACGAAGGAGTGGAAGTCGTGGGTACTCCCATCTAGCAAAACCTTCATATGCGGTAGGGTGCGCCCAACAGCAGGACATTAGAACTGTTTTAGCGCTTCAAAATTACCACTGACCTGTCAGAGACCATCCTGACCAGGGTGGTTTCCAGCCCACAGTAGTACAGCAGTAATCGCTGTGCACAGTCACTCAGCTCATAGAATGCCTTATACATGCATAATTTATGGCCAAATAAGCTCACGTCGGCTACCATGAAAGCTCTCCTCACTTTTGACAAGAACGGGTGTAATTGCTGCATTTCGGCTAGTAGGGTCAAGACTTATGGGGCCATATCATTATACTTGACATAACCTGAGAACGTCATTTTGACCTAAAATTAAAGCGAGTATCAAAGTGCCGAATTTTACCACCAGCATCGACGGTAAAGTGAAACAGGTAGTTCATGAAGAGCTCAGTCTTAATGATGAATTTCTTTATAACGAGACTCTTGGAACAACTGTATGATCCTGGCGGTGGGAACATGCCAAAACGATGCTGTTTTTCCCTTAGCATTTTGTTTAAACTCGTATGTACGTCAGTTTTTCTATGACAAAATACAGTAGCTCTTTCCCTAATTGGGAGGTGTGCTCACAGTGGTAGGTAGGAGACTGAGGTATCCTAGTTTGGGAGGGGTGGGGGTAGGAGGGGAATGTTGGCGCATCCTGTTAAGCTCTCGGGTCAACCTCAGTCACCCACCCTCTCGTTTGAGTCCCCACGCTAGACAATTAATGGCTCCTGTTGTCCTACCTGCAGGTGATTCAAGCCAACATCGACCCGCGCAACACCGCTAGACATACGTTCGATCCAACGGTGGTTGCTCGTCGCATTCGGATTTACCCTTACAGTGCCAAATTAAAGCATCCCATTTGTTTACGGTTCGCTCTTAAGGGATGTCCCTTTTCAGGTAACTAGATGTTCTAAATACTGAACTCACTTTTGATGTCTGTTTGCTCTCCCAGGATCATGTAGTTTTTATTAGGAAAGTAAGAAAATGTTGGATTGCAAATCCAAAATGAGCATTGTATCGTTTATAAAATGAGTTTGCTGCTCCCTAGAAGCTGGTACATTACCTTCATTCACGGAAGGCACACTATTACCCTCTTGGAAGAACATGGTTATTTTTTTGTAGATGGGATAACGGAATATTTGGCAACGGAAGGCAGTCGTGGTCATCTGGGGACCGATCGTTATCAACATATCGATTTTCGAGATCTGACCAACGACGCCAATAAGGCGTTGGGACCGCGAGGGGCCCCCGGAGGTCTAGGCAAACTTGTGGACAACATAGCACACCTTAATAATGTCACCCAGGATGTCTACCATTCTCCTGCCAACCACCATTTCGTTGGATGGGAGAGAAGCCGAAGTAGCCCCATCCGGCTGGACTTCAAGTTCGACAGACGTGAGTAGAGTTGCTGTGCCCCAGTCATCTCTGAAGCCGTATCGGTCTGAAAGTAGGTGTTAATTGAACTGTAGAGAATGAAGAACCTCTGTGTTTGAGTGTACAACTAAAGTAAAAACTATTCTTGTGAAAGCGGTCGTTGATGGCCACGGGGATTATTATTCTGTCATCACACGGTAGTGGAGATGGAAATGAAAGTCTTGCGGTGAATTTTCCATCACATCATTATTGATGCATCTCTTAGGTTGCATCCTTTTAAAATGCATCACAGAAACTCACCTACTTCGCGTTAAGGCTAGTCAATATTTTACACTAAACGAGTTTCTTGTACCAGTCCCTATTTTCAGGGTCGTTTATGTAGGCATCTGGTAGACCACAATATAAAGTTGTTTTACGGGGGCGAACTTGTTATTTATCCCTCTCTGCCATGGCTATCACTTCAGTGCTGCCTAGCTGGGTAACTGGTTTTCTCTCAACTTCTTGTAGCATGGCGGGTAGTAGTACCTTAACGACCGTTTTTAAGTAGTTTAAATTTATTCCCTCTTCATTACCGACTATTAGGCAGCAAACGAGATTGGAGTGGTGACCAAAAGCTGGTGCAATTTTGACAGCTCTTCACCTTTGAGTTCTTGCAGATTCAGCCTTTGGCGTTTCGATACGAAATCCAACCAGTGAAGTTAAGATTATTGCTATTTCCCTTGGGATGAGGTTCTTATTACTATTGCTGTCAACTCTTAAGGCAAAATAGGGCACACCAATCGGAACGAAGGAGTATAGAAAGGGCGGACCACTATGGAAATGTAGAGAATATCCCAATTTTTGGCTTAGTAACCGAATTGTTTGGACTAGAAAGTCAGTATAGTTACACATATAACTGTCCTGTGTGAGCTGAGACCTCATGGCGCTCTTTTTTCTAATGGAACTCGTTTAGAGACATATTGGATAATGTCGACGTCAAACTAACATTTCCCAAGAAACTTCCTAATTTAAATTGGTTTCTTCCGGCATTTTCAGCTCGCAACTTCTCGCGTCTCCTCATTTTTACCTTCGAATCGAGTCGTCTCCGAGTAGGGCTCTTCAACTACACTACCATAGATTTTACCAATGATGGGGCTCTCTCCAGCACCGAGGAGACCCGTCTCACTGTTCCCCTCAGCCCAGATAAGGTTGACCTTGAGGAGCGCAGTGATGCCTCTTGGAGAGATGCTACTAACACTAGGAGTCTTAGTCGTGTCACAGTCTTTCGAAACCCCTTCTGGGATGGCGCTGCGGTCGTCAGCATCCCTCTTCAGGGACGTATCGCCCAGGAGGTTTCTATGGAACTCTTCCATTCCGAAGATTGGTTATTGATTTCAGAGGTCCAGTTCATTTCGGGTAATAAACAACAGCCCTCTCATCTCTGAATTGTGATTCATCTAGTCGGGTCGAATTTCTCTTTTCACTTTTCCTACCTAACAGAACCCCATGTCCCGGTGCTGCCATCACAACGAGAAGAGGGTGGCGACTCAGAAGTCAGGTTTCCAGGCAAGTTTGAGGCGGATAGGGACCTGCGTCCGTTCCCGATCGATGCCGTCATTACAACCACCACCACAACCGCTTCTGCTGCCATTGACACCGTTGGTGTATTGGACAATGGTGAGTGGCGAATTGTCTTTACATTTTCTGCTGACTACGACATCGCAGCATTTAATTTTCGTTTCTTCGATTGTGACATAGCAAGTGTTATCCACAACCAACTACTGTTTTGGGCCTGTTTGCCCTCTAATTTGATACGCTGGAGGCAGTTAAGTTGCTTTTTGCTCTCCCCTGGGGGACATGTCAAGGATCGACGATTCCCCCTTCCCTCTCTTTCCCCCCTCCTCCCATTACCTCCGTTGCCCTCTGGGAGCTGTCAAAATTGCTACATAGTGGCAGGAGCTCTCTTGTTAGCGCAGCTGCCAGCACCCTACTACAAAGGCTTGCCTGTGCGCGCCTCTAATAATGTGTCTGCTCGTCTTTGTTCCCATAAAAAAGCTTGAAATCCATAAACTCGTTTATTCATCCCTAGTGGTAGATGTTGTAAAATTATATGTTGCAACTCAGTGCTTCATACAAAGGCTAAGGGTTCAATCAAGTTAGAGAAAGTGAAAAGGTCAATTTTAAGTAATTTTACATTGCCAGCAGGCGGAAAAGAAGTGGGTTAATTAATTAAAGTGTCTCACTAGCACTTTTACTGCTTTTCCTTTTAGCCTTGATCTCATCTCAAGCTGACTCGTTTTCAGGGTTTTGGTTGTCATTTTTCCGGAAATGCCATCGACAGCCAAAAATTCTGCTGCTGTAATGTGCTGATACGTTTACAGTTTTGTAAAAAATCTCTTAAGACAAAAATATTAGTTTAAAATAGTTATGGAGGTATGGGCTAAGTTGGAGTTTAACATTCGCTACCACCACCACATATATGTGACATCCGGATTTTCTCTTCTGAGCCCTGCATCGTCAATGTATGATATACATTCCCTAACAGTTGCATTAGCTCAGTTTGGAATAATGAAAGAGATGTAGGACCTTCTTTGCCCGAAAATGATTACATTTTAAAGTATTTGAGCAGCAGCTGAATTGTGAAGTTCGGTACTGCAAGTTTTGATCTCATAGCGCAACAATAGACTACATCTAAGCTGCGGCGGTAAATTTTCCTTTGAGAACCTGGTTGGAAATGCGTCAAGAAAATGGGGCATTCATGATGTACTAACTTGACTCAGATCTGGATGGCACCGTTCTAATGAATGGCTTTGCTTCCGTTGAAGTTTTCCATTCAGGCCTCAATGGCTGCAGTTGATTCGGTTGATGACTGCACTATGTACGTGATTCTATGTATCCGCAGAGATGACGGCTGTGATTTACCATTGCTTTGTCCGTTCCTCCTGCGTATGCACAGTCGAAGAAAATTCAAAGATCTCTACACGGTAAACTGCCTATTTCGCGATGATCTTGTTTAGTCAGCTCTGCTCTTGAAATACATTAGCACCCTGTGGGGGAAATGAGACTCCGTTTTATCTTCTTTAGGTATTTTCTCTAACCTCACCTTTAGCGACGAATCCGCGCCCGATTTGTAGCTCATTAAAGGGTGTGTGACTCCCCTTCTGTCCCATCCTAGTGATCCGGCCATCTGTACCCTCAAAAACTTCATCAGGGCAAGGTATGAAGTGGACACGTCTCATTACCTAGGTAATATATATGGAGGATTTCAGATGAGATGGGATAAAAATCGTCGACTATACCTCCAACGCGGTCTGTTAGCGACTGTCATACTGCGTTTGAGTGTAGGTCACTTGTTAGACAAGGGGTTGGTGACAGGTGGCTCCGGAAATGAGACACCGGTTGTCAGACTGAGTTTTTGGCATATTTTGTCCTTTTTAACCCCACTTTTTGCAATGGTGGAACTCGAATGCTGCTAAATAAGGCAGTCGCAACTTGCTGGCTGTTTTTGCTGATTTTTTTCGGGTGAAGAAAATGGGGTTTTTATTTAAGCACTCCCTCCCCCAATGTGCACTTTTCGGCCGATGTTGGTCATAAAAACGTGCAAAAAAATTGGAGGCTGGGTGAGGTTTGACCCAGGTTTGGGCTTTGCGGTGGGCTGACCTCGTGAGATCAATGAAAATTTGATTACATAATCTAACAAGCAGTTAAGTGAAATTGAAATTAAAGTTTTGTAACGCAACTTAGCGGCTAGAAATTTGTGCTAGCAACCAGACGAGAAGTAATTCGAAGTGTCTTGACTGCGTAAATACTATTTTTACTTTGAGTGCCCGTGAGTGTTAGGCTTAAGGATCGCAAATCACCAAGAACATCGCTTAGACGTGAAAAACGGAATCTCGTTTGATCCATGTTAGCTCTAAATTGACTACTTTTCATCCATTCTTAGTTGATATTGCCTCGACGACACCTGCATGTGTGTGCATCTCAAGTTATTGCCACTAGAACAGACGAGCAAGTAATCAATCACAGGTAACTCAGCTCAAATAGTATACGACGCAGCTTTAAGATGACTAAACTAAGTCTCCTCTTCGGTCTATTTAACAAAGTACACACCTCATTTATGCATTGACGCGTGTCGGATCTCCCAAACTAACCAGCAAGTTGAGAAAAAATCATACTTGTCTTAATCGAACTTTGGCCCCCAGGCGGATTTGCGTCGTGGATCTATTCCATTAATTAAATTTCTTATTTAAGTTAGCATTAATGAACGTTGACTGGGCACTAAAAACGCATTAATGCACCTTTTTAGTGCCCAAATTGCCTACACTCTTATTATGAAGCTACTCACAGACGATGAAATTTTGTTTACTCGCCTTGATTGATTGTACTGCTCATTTTTTGAACTATGATACCATATTGGTTTCTTTTTGAAATCTCTTGTCCAGTCTACCACGAGGACGGTGCCGGCGGTAGAAACGTGGCCACCGGATCGGTGTCATCGGCCACAGTGACGCATCGACAGGGTCTGGCCAAAGACCAGCTGCGGGTGAACAGTCGTGGCACAACCTTCATCATTGTCATAGTAGTCTCCCTCCTGCTCTGTATCTTCTGCGTAGTCCTCGTCTGTTCCCTCTGCATCCACATGCAGCGCTCGAGGCAGCGCCACCAGTCCCTCAAGAAAATTGCCTCCGCGTCCTCACAGATAACGTCACCACCACCCCCACCACCACCCCTGCTGGGTTCTCAGCAGGACGCGGCGGCGGTACTTGCACCACCATACCAACCAAATACTGTTGGGGTTTCCTTGTGCAACAATCTCACGTCTTCAGGACCCTGCTCTGCTGCGCCTGCAGCCTATCTCTTCAGTCCTGCTCATAGCAGTGGGTGGGTGGTTGATTTGTCGAATATAAATAAGTCGTAAAAAGAAATGAAGTATTTTTGGCTGCTGTAGATTCTCTGAGGCTTAGTTGTAGAATTTACTACTAGAATGTCGTTTATAACATCGAGAAATAGGGTGGAGTCGAGTGTCTGTTGTAACCACTCAGTTCGCTAAATCTAGTGTCAAAGCAAGTACGATTCCGTCACATCATCTCTTGTCTTAAAAATCATTTTTCTCAATGCTTTTTCGATTGAGACGTCCCCCCATTTTCATAGAACGGAGAAATTATCTGTAATCAACAGTGCCCTTTCTTGACCCGTCTTTCAGCCATCGCATTCCTTCTGAGTTGTGGGAGATGGACTTTATTTTTAAAGGTAATTTTACTCTAAGGGTAGTGGATAGGTTCATGGGTCCCTAGAAGACATCTAGGATGTAGCTTCCACCTCTTTGGCACCTAGCGTTTTCTTTGAGGAAATTGGGAGGTCAATATTGGCTTGCGTACTCATTCACAAATGTGAATTTGTAGCAAGTATCGCTTTCGGAAATTTGCTTACTTTATAAGTTTTGGTTTAATTTGTGTATAGAAATGCTAATTATCCTGAGCCTTTCAAAACCAGACCTTTTTCTTTTTATTCACTTTTCCGCTTTTGCACATTTGGAATAAATTTATTTCTGTGGTTGAGTTTCGGATTACTTTTCAACTGGAATAAGGCAACGGTTAGCCGCATACTTCTTTTTACTCGGTTGGGTAAGAAATTATTGTTCTAGTTCATAATGAAAATGTTGAGATGTGCTTTCAGAGCAGATTTTCATTCCTAATTTCCCGTTCAATTAAGCATGTAATTTGTAAATTCAAGGTAGCGTAACTGTGGTTTTACGATCTCCTCCTAATGGACTTTCGGTTTCATGCCCTTGGTCATCCGTTTTTCTTTAAATTTAGTAGGTTTATTAAAAGCTTTTGAGTGCTCATTCCCTTGTGCTTTTTTGGTAAAATATAGATTTAGGGTAGCATATGAGGATGCATGAGACTTACATAATACATTTTGCCAATTTGATTGTTTGTGAGCAAAGTAGAAAGCTTTCAGAGACATCTTTGAGGTATCTAAATTGATTTGCTAAAAGGTGTTAGTTACACGACCAAAAATTTTGACATTTGGTTTCAAGATTTACAGGTATCTTATAGTGTAGGAATATTTTGGTGAAGGATCATGTAGTAGTTATAGGAATCGCACCTCACTAAACTGGGTGTTAAAAGCATTTACTGTTCACTAGACTCGCTTTATTTTACTCCTACATGATTATCATTGAAATGGTTGTTACTTAAATCTATTGTGACAATGTCATTCATCTAATATCCTGAGAATGGCTACCAATTTGCCGTCGGTCAAAGGAGTATTCTTACGGATCGTCTGCTTCGCGTAGTGAACTCATTTGAACCAGCTTGATTCACTTCTACTGAAAAAAAGAAATGTGAGATTCCGGTTTTTTTCCTGCTCTTTTTAGAAAAATTCACATATTTTAATGAGAAAACCTCCGCGACTAATTCCTTCTAAGTCAGGAGTTTAATGGACGTAGACCAACTCCAAATAACTTTGCGTCCCATGATGCAGTCTTGTCGAAAGTCACACCATGCGAAGATGAGCTTGTTATTTTGATTTCGCTTTGCAGCACGGGAACCATGTACGCCGCTGGTGCATCTCCGCTACAAGTGCTCTCTTCACCGGCCATGTTCTCCCCACCAGACGGCTGTCCGGCCGGTCTTCCGTCGCCAGGTAGGTGTGCTCACGCTACTCCTTCCACCTCATCCACCCTGGAATTTTTTGTAGTAAAAGCTGTGATCATCTTATTCGACACGTTAAAGTAAACAGCAAACTTCTAGTTCGGGGAATTTGTTCCAAGTAAAAGTTTGTTTTCTTGCATGTGGTACACTGAACGATCCTTTTTATTTGGCGACAGTTTGACGTGGTAGGAGATACTCACAGAGTCGAGATGTTATACATCTTTACTGGTTATCTACTTCTATCATACGTCCCTGTTTACCTAGCCAAATCGCACAAATGAAGTGGTATGTTCGACTTCAAAAGTCGTTTTCCTTTGGTTTATTTGATTTTGATACTGACTTCCCATTTGAATAGTGAACCCAGTATTTGTGACACATACTTAAGGATAGTATTTTCCCTCACAGAAAGCGAGGTTTTAATGCCCCAACCGAATTTAGGGTACTTGTCTTGAGAGAAGAAAAACGCCTTGTTTGAGGTTGTCTTACATTTCCAGATGACATCTAGGCCATTGATAGGTCATACTGAATATTGAAATGAAATTCCGGAAAAATTCGGAGGAAATTTACTCAGAATCGAACCCGACGTTGATTTCAAACCGAGGCTGTTATCAAGAATTAGTATTTGAAAATGTTAACAGCAAAGGCTGACCATTGGTCACTTTTATCTCAAAAACCTTGATTTCCAAGATGTGAGGAAGGAATGGCAGTAAGCGGCAATGGTAAACCTGATCTACACAAGATGCACCGATTATACTAGCATTCTAAAGTTATACCCGCTTTTAATAATAATATTCGAAGTACTGGTTTCTTCCTCACTCAATACTGAAGATGTTATCCAGAGGGAAAAATTTACATGTGTGCTTTCGGAGTAACCCCGATATCATTCACAAGGGAAGAGTTGAAGAACCGGAGTATCCGCCTTTCCTTTTCCCCTTCCCTTACTCATTGGTTATGTGTCCATGAGTGTGCGCTTAACAGCTTAGTGATGATAGCGATGATGACGACGTTGACGATGCTGTCTCGCTATTACTAACGCATTTTTCTGGAGAGGTAGACGTGCAATGAATGACCGTGCATGCGTACGCATCCACGTCGTCCCGTGTTGAGTCAGCCGCCACCGTCATCACTTCTGCGACTCAGCACCGAGTGCTGGATTGAGCTTCGCCGGCGTACGTCAGGTTTTGTGTCTACCATCAGGGTATTGGGTAGAGGGACAATAAGACCAGATTTATATTGTACAAGTGAGCAGCCTCTCTTGTTCCTGCTAAAGAGGTCAAGTAATTCTTCAATCGGTCTGACGCTGTGCTTGCATTATCACGTGTACTGTTTTGCTTTATGCATCACTCGTCAGCATTAAAAAAGAAAGATGACGGCTTACAAAAACCCTGCCTGGCTCTCAATTAGCACCAACGCCTCTTTGCTAATGCGTGCTGCTGATTATGGCAAGAATGCTAGAGGCAGTCACCTACCGTCATGGAAGTGATGGCACATTCTTCCTTTCCATTGGAAATAACCTCGATCATCTAATCCATTTAAGGAGCGTTTAATCTTTCCCATCGGTACTGTGGCTGTCTTTTTCTATAAGAATTGACTAATTCTCACATAAAGGGCTAAACTACTCTTGATTTTTTTTCATTCACTTATCAAAGAAACTGTCATAGTTGTCAAATTCTTTGCTCACAAAATCAAGTCGTTGACATGCAATCGAGATTTTTGTCTAAGAAAAGTGCGCTTGGTGTCTTTTACTCGAAAAGTGGACTCTATTTAATCTTCCCACACAATATGATTTAAAGTAGCAGCTGTTCATGCCCGCTATACCATATAGTCCGATATATCACTTAAATTGCTTTATCATAAATCCACAGAAGTCCTGGGAGACCAGTAAAGTAGGTAGCGTGACTCCTGCCGTGGGGTGTGAATTGCGGCATATTGGAAGGGTCCATGTAATGTTATACATAAAGGTAATTTAATTCACTTTATAAGCCGATGTTTCTACAACTTCTTTATATGCCTATCAGTAAGAACAGGCTGACTTTTCACTTCAGTTATCAAAAGATCAATGACTAGCAAATCCCGAAAAAAGGCTTGCTCTTAATTAAGGATTCCTATTTTTACCATTGACCATTTTAGACGTATCGCAAAGTCAACACTACCCATTTTATTTAAGAAGTGGACATTGATCAACCTTTTACGTGAGCAAAGACAAACCGCGAGCATCTATGTGCACCAGACTGCGTTTTAACGATGCCATTCTTTATTCTCCTTAAAGGACACAACTTCGCTTCTCTGGCTGGAGGTGATCTGGCTGCAATGCAGCAATTGGCTCTGCAGCAGCAACAATTTTACCCACCCATCGGGATGATCCACCCAGCCACAGGCGGTGACACGACCACTGACAGCGGTAGTCTCTACACCACCCCACCCGCTCTCTGTCCGGTGCTAGGAGGTGGTGGCCACGCGGCACCCTGCAGGCACGGCAAGGATCGGTCCGCCCCAATTGCTAGCCCCTCCGTCTCTTCTGATGATGAGGCTGCGGATGTCGAAATGGAGGATGAAGAGGAGGACGAAGTGACTGGAGAGGGGAACGGAAAATTGCGGATGAGGGGATTGGCTCCAGTTGCACCCACAGAACGCAACAGTGTGACCACCTCATCGGCTAGCGAGGGGGTACAGCACACCTCCGTTTCGACCGCTGGTGGTGGAGGTGGTGTGGATAATCTGATCACGGTGGCGGCGGGAGCGGAAGATGGAGAAGGATGTGAGAACTCGGCCCTCCTCAGACCCAGTGTCAGCAATACTAACGGACGTCGGAAAAGACCCAAGTATCGCCGACAACGCTGCACTGCGTCATCGCAGAGGCGAGAAGAGATGGGCGGTCTCCACGACTCAGTGCAGAGTCGAACCGATAGTGGAGTAGGCAGTTCAAGGGCAGCGGCGACGGTGGGCGACAGCGTTTTTGGTGCCGGTCGCACTATGCTGCAGCCTTTCGCTGCACAACCCTTCCCCAATCTAGCTGGCAGTGACATTCTCGGCACAGAGTATGCCAGTACCTCGCTATTTGGCTCTTCCACAGCCTCCAACAATGGTCTATCAACGATGAAGAAGGGTTCCTCTTCACTCATTGGTCCCAACGGTGGTGTGGCTCAGTACCCGACGCCCTTCCTTTCAGCGACCGCCGCCCACTATCCCGACCAAAGCGGGAGTCAAACCTCCGTCACCGCTGGAGCTGGTGGTGGTGGAGGCGGTGGTAGCACTGCCTCCTATCATCTCTACCAACCCATCCTTGTGCCTGCTCAGCAGGCCCACCTCTTCCAAAGTGCAGTGGCAGCGGCGGCTGTAGCTGCAGCCGCGGGATTCGGTGACTCCCAACAGTTGGGTGGACTTGTTCAATCGTCACCCTTCCTCTCACAGGGACTCGTACACTCTGCTGTTCCTCCCACGGTGAGTTGAGCTAATGAATGTCAATTTAAAGTACAAGCACCTATCGATCCGTAAGGTAAGGATGTTCTTGACCGAGAAAACCCCATTTTATTTGGATTCCAGAACCATGGTGTCGGTTTAGGACCACGCTGTCTTAAGCTATTTATTACTGCCCAATTTTTAAATTTGGGGTTACGTGAAAGAATTATAGATTTCAGGATAATCGTGAGATATCCAAGTTTTGGAATCTTGCAATTTTCTTCTAGGTTGATAATGGCAGTTTACTTTTGCTGGTCAATACAGGACGACAAGAGATGCTAACTTGACACAAACATGTGAAACCGTTTTCGAATTGAAAAATTATGCGGTTCGAACAAAAAACTTATGTCTGAATTTCCTTTCCCCTTTTGCCACACCAACTAGCTGGAGTTTAGACGCGCCTTTAGCCTTGTTCAAGGGTATGTGCGTTCATTACTACTGATTTTATTTAATTCCTCCCGACCCTACTTTGATTTTGCGTTTAATTTTTTTTCAAAAAGCTAAACAATAAATAAAATGAAGGCGGGAAAGTAATTTATTTTCTGGGCTCTCGTGCAACCGGGAGCTCGCCTCTGCTAACGCTACGCAAAATGCATGCTTCCCAATTCCATTTTTTTCCGCTCGCCTGACTTTGCCCTCTTCGTCTCTTATCCATAAACTTGTGGCAAATTTTGGCTTTTTTGTAGACCGCTTATCCTTCAGAGACGCCTCTAGCCCTCTCCACATCGACGTCCACTGGTGGTGGCTGCTGGCTGGCGCAGCAGACTGCAACAGCAGGTCTAAAGTCCTCCTCGGGCAAGCCCCTGCCCCCCGTGCCCACCCTTCCCTTGCCTCCGAACCCCTACCACAATCATCATAAACACAGCCATCATCACTCCACCAATGACGGCACGAGCTCGGGTCGACTTTCTATCTACTCGGTGTGCATGTAGGGAGGGGAAGGAGGGAGCTATTGTTTCTCAGTCATTCCTGATCTCTCTCCGCATCTATCCCGTCAGTGCTGGACTCTACCTCACACCACGCGCCAACCCTCTCCCCTTATGTCCTTTTATTTGCTGCTATTGCTGATGCTGCCACTCATTCCTCCTCTGTTGTCCTGCTAAGAGAGCGTGTGTGCGTGTACAATTGTGTATATTTTTCGACACTTCTATACCACCTTCATATGCGTGTGTTTCTGTGGATTTTTCAGCATCTCTCATCTGCGCCGCATCCCCTCTTCGCCCTCGCTCCCCATATCCACGTCCTCCAAAACAATACCACCATCACACGCACACACGTACGCACACAGCTGCTCGTTACCGCTGTCACCCATCCACATGAGAGTACGAAACAAGGGACACCTTTACCCCTCTCTTGTCCCTTTCTCCTCCTCTTCCTTTTGTCTCTTCTATTTCGCCGGGTCCTGACCACCAAAAACCCACTTCATCTCTCTTTGAATAAAGTTTAGGGGCGAAGACAGGGAAGGAAGTGTGGCAGTACGGAAAGGGTGCCCTATTTTGTGGAGGATTATCGGGATACTTTTATAAGCATCAGCTTTTTTAGAACGGTTGTTGAACACCTGTACAGAAACTTCTACTGTTGACGTCTGTCTACAGCTGGTATTACATTTTTACCCTATCCAGAACGAATCTGGAGCGGCTTAATTTGGCACCCGAAGTCTGATTTGCGCATCGTCTACATGTGCATACCTGACCGAATAATGCTTTAAAGGTGTCCTCAGGGATTTCTCACGGAAAGATGGTATTCCTCGCGAAGTCGAATGGCTCGATTTGTTAGCAGTGGGACAGAACTTCTAATCCGGGAGATTGGGCAAGAGTCAGTTGTGTGTTTCAGATTTGATTTCAAAGTAGCAGAAATGTCCCAACCGGGCTTGCGACTTATTTTCTTGATCAAAGGGTGATGGTGTCTAGCGTGGGTGAATGAATCAACTTCTTCTGTTGAATAATCAAGGAGAAGAGAGGTGAGCCGGCCTTTTCAGATTTCGACAGGCTCAACAATGTCTTAAGGAGACGCAGCCCCATTACATTCTGCTAGAAACACTTGAGATGGGATACCAAAATTAGCTGACTTGAAGGGAAGAATTCAATGGGACTACTTTGAGCATTTCCAAAAGCGGCAGGCGATGCAAGCATCTCGTTCTTTCGAGCTGGAAGAGCTATTAGCAGTGGGTGTCACTCCCAGGGAAGGAGCTTGTTATTATCAGTTACTTTCACAATCCCACTTAAAGTTGACATCAAAGTAGATGAGACTTGCCTTTAGATAAAAATAACGCCTGATTGTGACACCGTCCTAACACCATGGTCTGATTAGTGCATCTGGTGGGATTCAAGCTGAAAGAGATTAGCGGATTTGTGTCGGTGGCCAGATAAAATACAAAGGAGTTTGGATTGTCCGCTATACCCAAGATTGGATGTTAGATTTGCGGCTTGGTTGTTAACCTGCTTTGGACTAAAATAGGGGCAAAGATTTCTACACTTATTGTCTGGATATCTGGATTTTTATGGCTCTGCTTTGAGGCTGTTTCAGCCGGAGATCACGATGATAATGAGGATGATGCATTTATTTGCTGAAAAACGCGATTAAAATGCACTTCTTAATGGCTGTTGTCATGGTTGGTGTTCTGATTTTTCTACTTGCACACAGAGAATCAGTCACGTGAATAGATTTTAATGACTGTGGCTTCGAATGTGGCGTCTAAGGCAGGACTGCGCACATAAAGTTCAGCTGCAAGAAAACAATTCATTGATCCCGAAACATCGGAGGGAATGGCGAAACAACATAATTTCTGATGTTGATGAGATCGGCATTGTGGATACCTCCTATTCTACTGAAATAAGAGGCAACCACTCTTAATTTGTTAAAATAGATTTGTCCTTCAAGTTTCCAATGTTTGCAAAGTAATATTGTAGCGCCTTTTGACTTCTCTGAAGACAAAAGAAGGCGTAATACTTTGGTAGAATATGTATTATCGTCGTACAGAAAGACTTGAGACTACTACCCGGCCTCCCGGCGACGGAGCATCAAAGTGGCCCTTTTATTAAAATCGAGAGGGAAATAACGAACAACCTGTTATATAATCCCTCACCCCTTTTGAGTGCCGTTTCCAACATTCTCCTTGGCCAACCTTTCGCGTCAGCCATCACAAAGTAATCGGTGCTGTAAAGAAGCACTCACAAGCTAATCGTGGGAAGCGAGAATAGGCTGCCCATTAGGCATGTTAATGGCTATTCCTAGTACCGTTGGCCCAAAAGGGTGTCATATAACAAAGGACTGCAGTTAACACAGTTCCATGGGGAGAAGATTGCGCTTTTATTTCTGCTTATCACGTTTTTCTCACTTCACAGTTACCCAGTCATACTTATATGGGCCTCATCCGGCCAGTAGAGAAATGGAGGAGGTATCACGTGATCACATTTTCTCACAGGTACAGCAGACAGCTTCGTCGCAAACTTAACCCAGTGGTTTGAGTCTAGTGCTGCTTCATACGTTAATAGCATTGGTGCAGACCGGGAGACTGAGGTAGGTTCCGAAGGTAGACATCATTTTCAGCTGTTCCCTTTATGGTTGGTCGAAGATTCGCCCGTGGGCAGAAGGTGTCCTTTTGTCACACAGCTGAAATAAGAATATATATCCTTCAAGATGGGGTTTGCTTTTAGCAACACTAGGAGATAGGTCGGCCTGCGAAGGCACAATGACAGAGCCACTAAATAGTCCGTTACCAAAACTAAGAATTTTAAAAGCAAATAACATGTTACACTATATGAGGTCCAGACTTAAATATTCCTCCTTAGGTTCTTCAATGCAAATAAGTATGAGCAAAAGTGTTTGGCTTTAAATCACTTAAACCAGTGACTCCTTTTTTAGTTGTATTTAACAAAAAAATAATCTTTTATCAAACGTGTTACTAATGCAAAAGGGTGCATTTCCCACCTCGACGTTGATAAGGCATGCGATTCCACGCAAAGAGCATTTCTTATCAGCCATTCACGATTTACATTGTCCGCATCAGCAGCAATGCTGTTAGTGGAAATACTGCTATCCTTGATGTTTACCTTGCTGACGGTGGAGATCAAAGCCATACTCGGTAAAGTCATGAGCTAGTTTGCATGCATGTTGTGTCCAGAGTAACCTGTGTGATTGTGCATTCATTTATGCAAATCAAAAGCGGCCGGCTGCTGCTCAGACCTAACCGCAGCACTCCCACTCCATGGGCTTTGCCTTCTTTTGACTCAGACAAGGCCAAGCACTAGTGCATGCTGTCTTTGGTGGATTGTCTAATCTCTTGGAGCTTAGATGTAGCTGGGGTTGTTAATGTGCAGGTACGCAGATGTGCCAAAATGAATTCTGAATTTTAAGCGCAGGGTTATTATGTCGCTTGCGCCATGGCCACAATGACGTATACATTTCACCAGAGACTTTCCAAACTTTTCTCATAACATTCGAAATACTAGTCCAAAACTTAGACCTATTAACCTAGCTGCTAATTAATAATATTCACAAAAGAACTACTTCGAATCTGCTCTACAGCGCGATATGAATCGGAAGGGGTGGACACCGTGCTGGGTCCGAGGATCTTGCTGTTCAGATGGATCACTAAGTAGAAATATAAAGGAGAAAGAGAGCCGGAATTGAAGTTTTATTTTATTTGCCAGGTAAAGTTCTTGTGAGGATCGTCTGAGTTACAAAGCATATTCGTTGACCAAATATATTTTGTCATAATAATCAGATTAAGATTACAGCGGCTGCACTAACACAAGTGGAATATGAATTTATTTTAAAGCTGTATAAATTTACATACTATCCAAGTTTTTACTTCATGGACGATTTAACTACCAATGCAGAAGCACCATGTACGACGTTCAAAATATGACGACGACTACGCAGTAGTAAAGACACACAAATCTGGAAGTACCCTTTTATTGACTTTAGTAAGGTTAGGATACTACTAGCATACACCGACATAAATAGGACAATGTACTGCCAACAGAGTGGCGAACCTATTATATAATTAACTTCGCATTCTTGGAGGAAAGAGAACTTTCCCTTCCATTGATGATGAAATGTGTTGTAAATGTGCAAGAAATCACCTACTATGTCCTCTTGGCGAAGTGGATCTTGGACCTACATAGATGTGGGATTGTGGAATGAGCTAAAAGAGTGGATTTTGTTTGCCAGTATTCCAGATGGAAAACTAGCCGACCAAACACGGAATTATATTTTTCACTCCCCTGTCTTCTTTATAATGCCTAGCCACTTATCTGGACTATTCTCAGCTTTTTTAAAGGTAAGCAAGTCACCACATTGCATTAGGCCTGCCGGTTTTATGTAAGTAATGCTTGTCTCCAATTCCTCTCCCACCATGTCTGTCCCATCATTACTGACCTTTGTAAATCGGGCTGCCAATTTTATGACTTGGATCTTATCCTATCCCACAAAGCGGCCGTACTGAGTACAGTCAGCATGTACATGCCTGGTGGCTAAAGAGCAGATACTGGAGGAAACTGGGTCTGCGTCTGAGTAAATTCATTTATGTGTACATATAAAATCTGATTGATATCGGCCTTAAATCGGTTAACGGTACATTTAGAGCACGCCTCTGCTAGTGATGGGCCGAGCATGCAGAAGTGAAATGGCAGTACAACTTTCGAGAATGTTCGGAGATTGGCAGTCAGTCGGAACCCCCGGCGTTATAGGCATCTCAAGCTTTAGTCATAATGCAGAATTCAATGCTAAAGTAATTGCAATAGATCGAAGTGATTTTGGGACCCTTACTGATGAGTCTCTAAAGGTTTCATCATATAAAGCAAAAGCCTTCCTTTTACAGAGTTTAAAGGAAATATCTAGTCAGTGAAGTCGGGACTTTTGCCAATTTGCGGTAAGTTTGCTTACTGTTGCTACCATCGGAGCATTCTGATTACCCTAGAAGGCTTAATAAGACCCATTATTGTCAATAACGGAGAAAAATTGCATGATCGAAGTGTCACTCCACACAAATGACAGTTTAGTTTACAATTTAAATAAATTTAGTTCTGTCAATATAACCGTAAATGATCTATTGGAGTGTCGAGAAGTCAGACTAGAACGTTACGCTCTCCACGTTATCATCCTGTTATCTGGGCACCCTGTATATTCATAACATAATTCTATAAACACAAACAAGACCGTTACGATAAAACTCGCTGGCCAGAGTTGCCTACTTTGAGAGTTTCAAACATGCTTTGTCGGCCAGAGGGGTCTTAGGAATTTATGCGAAAGAAGAGAAAGAGGGTTGATCTAGCCCTTTCACACCCACCCGCCCTTGCTCAGGCAACCTCAAGCCAACATGACAGCATTCCTAGTCTTGCCTAGTTCATGGAACAGCAGAACAATCGGTCCTATAAACAATCAGCTACAAAATTTAGTAATCTGTCAGCTCTACCTCTCTTTGAGCAATCCGAGTGTTTCCAGAGGCCTAAATTCTAATCAAGCCTAAAAATTGAAGCAAAAACCATAGTAGATAGGGATTCAAAAATAGTTCATTATCTTACTCACAGTCTTTTATCATTGCAAGAAATATTATTTTGGGGACATATGACGCCGGAACGTGCATAGAGCTCAAAGGTTTCGAAGATTCTGCTTCATTTTCAACTACTTTATCATAGTTTTCGGTGAGTATCATAAACGCCACTTCTTGTGGCAGGAAATAGGGAGGCACAATGGATCTCCCACGGTACCTACTTAGGTATCCATAGGATGCATAGCCAATGTTTAAACATTGAAAGGAGTCACTAAACTTTGTATTAAGCCAATTTAAATCTAATCACCTTTGAGCACTATATTTCACTAAGAGACGGGCAATTGTTGACGTACGTCATGGGTATTTTTAACTCCAAGATTTTAGTCTAAATAAGATATGCTCACAGGTAATGCCTGCTAATGTATATTCCTTTGGGTTCTTAGGCCATGAAATGCTAATGGTTTTACTTTTACGGCCCAAATCTAATGAAGATCCTGCCCCATTTATGATTACTCGCGGTTTTTAGCACCTATAATGAACTCTGCTGCTTGTGGCAGAAGGGAAGAAAGCAAAGAAGGCCCAATTACTCTACCAGGGCTGCTATTAGCTAAAAATTGCCATATTTTAATAAACCAACACAATACATGGAACAGCTGGCCTCCACTTTAACCATTCAGCTTGCCGTCATTGTCAATATCCAATTTGCTTGCTTATCATTGCTGTGATAAGGGTAGCTTATTTACAAATAACTCCATTGGGTTTTGTCCGATAACCATAAGCGGGATCGTTTTTATTCGACAAAAGGCACCGACTGTCGTAATCAAAAAATGTGATGAAACATTTAGTTTGAATTATTGCTCTTTTTTAAATTTTGACCGCTATGCCTAGCAAAAATTCTAAAAAATATGTGCATAAGATTAAAAAATAGTGAGCTTTCAGATTTTTTAATTGTTGAAATACAATTCCTGCTTTCCACCAAGGAATGCATACCTTCTGACCGAAAATGCAAACTCTTGAATCAAGAGATTGCCGCCGCGGCATGGGCTTGATGGCGGTAGCACTACCCGCACTTATGGCATAGCACGGGGTTAACTAGATTACGCCAAAGGAACAACTTTAGTATTGTAACTAAAAAAATGATGCAATAATTCCAGCCTGTCTGCCTTCGAAACGTCTACCAAGTTACTAGTCACTGGTGGATACGTAAAACGGCTACTTTGGTGAATTAAGAAAGTACTACCTCACCAGAATCTTCAGTATGGTCTCGGATTCTGCCTAATCGTCGGCAAATGGATAAGCCGCATCCAAAAAGCTTAACCAAAGCGTTACAAAGGCATCACACAAATATCGTGTGTTAATGCTTTTATTTTTTGGCAAGATCATATGCTAATTTTACCACTTCTAATTATTGTCAGCTTTCTGTGAACCACACCCTTCAGACCGAAAAAAATTGGAAAGGGGAGCGAAAATGTGATTCATACTTTCTCAAATAATTTTTTTTGGTTCACGGGAAGTTTGCTTAATGCATCATTGGATTTGAAACCCTAATTCTAACTCTCAACCCTAATCAAAGTCACTCATAGATTCCCGATTTCCTACACTTTGACATATTCACCATCTCAGATGAAAATCAGCTACACAACCTAGACGATGTCTTATTCTCATATTGTAGAATAATAATAATAATACCCTTCTAAGATGACTATGTGATACGGCGTTATCAACCAAAGGCGAGTGAAAAATGAATCGAAGTACAGTTTTACAGTGACATTCTTAGATGGCCGGAGTAATCCTTTTTTTCATACTGTGCAAATTCCAGGAGGGAAAAGTCTTTCCTTACGTAAAACTGAGAAAAGGAAAGTCGTTTAGCCAACAAAATTAGCTCATGACAGAGGAAGGAATGCACTCTCTCTTGGAAATCAACAGGTCTCTGATAAAAATGGACATTGACGCCAGATTTTTACTTCTTTCCCAGTTTTATTGTTGTTGCTTATTGTGTTGAAAAAAACGCTGCATTTGAATTTGGGAGTTTTGTAATACAATGAAAGGACTACTCGGAGGGGAAGAGAAGTGCATGCAATCGCTGTAACGTCTTACAGTTTTCCAGAGTGCATACAAGTCATTTTAGGAAAATAAGTTAAAACCTTTTCACTCACTCTAAATCGCCTTAAAACAAGCAAGAGTCGTGTGATTTCTTTGTTACTAGAACAAAGATCGGTGAACAGAAAGAGAATAAAAGAACGACACTGCAATAAAAAGGTTTCCATGCTTAAATTAAATGAAAAATAATGGAAGTAAAATTGTCCTTTACATCAGTAAAAGCCTACTTCTTGATAAGCCGAATTTGCTAGTCAGAAATGACTGACAATCCAAGGAATTTGACAAACCTCAACTCCATTAATTGTCGTTGAATCTGAAATAGAAGTCTAAAATTCAAAGGATCATTGTAATTACTACTCAAACCGGAGACGTGGCCATTTTCAGTATCATCCAATGATTCTCCTTTCTTAAATTTATGCAGTTTTACTAACTTGCAAACAAAACCAGTTGCCGATTGTGAAAAGAAACCCTTTCTTCCCTGCG